GAGATTTTTATGAGTTTTGTTGATCTAACTCAATTAAAAATCAATGAATTGACTTGGATCGAAGATTTAGTTTGAGTAAAAATATTGAAAATTAGTGAAGTACAGTTGAGTTGTAAAAATTTAATTCAAGCCAATGACACATTCTACATAAACTTTTTTTTTATTAACTTTATTATTTTTATTATTTTTTAATTTGTTTGAAGTGAAAAATTAAAGATTGATAAGTGATCTTTCAATTTTTAAATATTATTTATTACTTTAAGTGTGAGACAATTAAACTTTGTACATTATAATTTATAAAATATTATCAAAATTTATTTTTTACTTTATATTACTTAAACTCCTTATTTTATATATATATATATATATATATATATATGAACATTAAATTATTAGTGTTATATTATATTTTTATTTTAATATATAATTTAATTTTTTTATACATTATCATAAGTGTTAACCCAATTATTCAATTCAACCCAACAACATGTAGTTGAGTAAAGTGAAATTTTTCTTTCTTTTTTAATCAAAACTAACTCAACCAAACCAATGAAATTTGATCAAATCAAGTCATTTTTTTATATCAAAATTCACCCAAATTAACCCATAAACAGCCCTATTCTTGAGCTTATAAAATATATTTGTAGTTTATCTACCAACCCATATTCTTACATGATACGAATTTAATCTTTATCAATTAGACTAACTTTAATTGATATAAAGTTTTTCATATACATTTTATGTTTTCTTTTTCTTTCATTAAAAATTGATATAAATGTCGTTATCCATGTTACACCTTTTTCATTTCATTTTATGTAGTTTTTATAAAACTACCTTAAACTCTTGTCCATTTTGGGAGCATTTAAGCTACATCGATACATGATGCATAGTTAGCATTAAATTTTGTATGGCAAGAATTGTTCTGTTACTGATAATCCTTTTTTTTTTTCACACTACTTATGTATCAAACACTAATTAAGTCCCAACAAAAATTCAAGTACAATACTTTTGGAATTTATTTTAATATAAAAATAACTTCCACACAGTTGAAATCTCCTACAGATGAAAAACTAAATAAATAAATACATTTTTGCATCTCACAATCCAAAATTACTTTACCATTTTCTTTTTATCGATACTTAACCAAACTTCAAATCAAATTTAAAGCTTAAAATTCCTAAAATTTTAAAATAAATTACAAGTCCTTGATATGTGTAACATAAGTATATATTTGGTCAGGGTTAATTAAACTGTATTCTGTTAAACTTTGAGGTGAGCACGATTCCTAAATATGAGCTTATTTTTTTAAAAATAGAATCTACATTTAAAAAAGGGGTTTATTTAAATTTTTAATTTTTCATATTTTTTATTTTTATTTAATATAATAAAATATTTAGTATTAATAATTATAATCTTTACTTTTAAAAAAAAATTGAAATTTTTTATTAAATTTAAAACTACTCATGTAATATATTTTTAATTATTTGTCTAAAAAATTAATATAATTTAATAATACTTATGCAACATATGTAAAAAAATATCAGTTTAAAACTTTAGACATTTGCATGCATGAGTTTGGAGAACTCATGAAAAGTTGTTTATTTTTTCTTTTCAAAAGAAGTCAGGGAATATCCTCTTTTTATGCCGTCAATATCGTGTTAGAAGCTTGAAGGCTTTCTTGGTTCCGTCCCAAATTAATCCATATTGTGGTCAAATTTAGTTTGGATAGAGTCATTGCATACACTTTTAATTTTACCTTTGTATTATTTGATGCTATACCACAAAATATCACAATATCATGACAGCTTGTGGGGCCCAAAATGTGTTCCTTTAGCAAAGGATTAAAGAGAATAATTTTACAAAAGAAGATCAAATCATCACGATCACAACCTCTTTAGCCAAGCTTAATGGTGTGTCTGTGATGAAATTAGGACCAGATGAAGGTCTTCTACTACTCATTAACTATAAACTGATTCCACCCAATGAACCAAAACTCTAGACCATTCCATCTCAATACCTCATCTAATCTAATATTTTGACAAATGACTCATAGGGCATGTTGAGAGGGAGTATTACCCACTATCACATTGGAGGTATCTGTTCATGAGTCTTTTGTCCATATCGACCGAAAGTATATGAATGTTCATCAAGGGAAACTTGAACAGAGAATAGGAATTAAAACAGGATTTTTATTTTCGTTGATGCTTAGAATTCGAATCAAATTAAGAGGTAAACGTCCACTTTCTCAAATTTGTGGCCCATGGAGCCGATGACCTAATGAGAAATAAACCTTGGAGTTAATTTGGAATTATTTTAACTAAATGGGACAATATGATCCTGTCAAAAAGGAACATAATCAGAAAATCAACGGCATATATGCATGACAACTACAACTCCATGACAAAAATTAGCTTAGGTTAGTCCGTGTAAAAGGAGTTTATATGCTTTAAACATAAAATTTTGCCTTTGATCTTGGGACTCGTGCATATATAAAAATTGTCGTAATTTGATTAAAAAAATCAAGCCAAAACCCTAATGGGAAATAAAGCTTCGGTTAATATAGAAGATATTATATTTTAACCCCACAATGCATTAACGGGACACTATGATCTTTGACAAAAAAGATCATAATGAGGAGATATGAATCACAATTAATTATGACAAATACAGAATTGGTTTGATGTGAATGGAAGGGTTTTTAATTTTTTAAACATAAACAGGTGATTTTTTTATTTCAAGATTCGTGCGTGTTTCTAAGAAAATATAAACCTCTCCCTTACCTGTTGAAGGAATAATCTCCAAAAAGAATTCCATCCAGCCAAAGTTCTCATTAATGAAAAATAAACCTTAATTTAGAAGATATTGTATTTAACTCCTTAAAATGGGACAATAATATGATCTTGACATAAGGGAACATAATAAAAAGATCAACTGCATATATGCATGACATGACAAATATTAAGGTGGGTTTACGTAATTTTATCATCAGAATGGAAAGGGTCCAAATCCTATAAACATAATCTTGTTTTCAACCTCAGGATATATAATTAAGATTCCATATATTTAATTCTCGATCATATTTCAAGAAGTCTCCCTCAAGCCGAAAAGAACAATCTCGATCATATATATATATATTCCATCACAAATAATCTGATGCAGGAGTAACCACGTCTACTATTAGGCCACCTTCTTTGATGCTCTAATAATTTACTAATGTACAGATTCGGTCCCTATAGCAGGAAAGATGCAATTCTTTATAGGAATAAAAAATGCATTCAAAATTTGTAAATTAATCACTTTTAAAATTTAGTTTAAATTTTAAAAAAATTAACCAAATATGAAGAGTACGTTGAAGAATGTATTGTAAACTGATAAGAATTATGAACCTATATATATACCTTTAACCTTCAAGTTTGTACTCAAAAATACAGAAAGCACTTCCCTAGTTGGTTACTTCTTTCTCAATTCCGAATTCATTTCATTTCCTAGTGTAATTGAGAAATGGCACCTCAAGCAGACTTTGCTAAAATTGGGTATGAAATAGAAAAATTATTTGGCAGGCAGAAGAGTTTTGGCAATGGCAACCCTCCTGCAACTCAAAATCTTTGCCAATACAAATTCTATCCAACCTATGGTGCTACCAAAGTGGTCCACATGAATGTAGAAGACATTAAGTGCAATGAAGCTGCTTCAAGATTCATACCAGAAAACAGAACGGAGCTGCAGATGAAAGGTTTGGTTGGGCAGTGATTAAAAATATTTAGTAGTACTTTTTTTTTTTCACCTTTGTTTGGAATTTTAGATGCCTGCTAGCTCTTGAACCTTTTAGCATATGGTGTCATGTACTAGTTTTGTACTATATAAATACACTTAGTATGCATCAGCTCGAAGATAAACATGAAGGTCTTCTGCAGCTTCAAGAGTTCAAGTTTTAGGCTTCTTCTTCCCTTCAAGTTATGTACAGAGCGAATAGATATATATTACTATATATCAAGAAGTTTTGCTCTCATAATCTTAGTGCAACTATGGTGTGATCTATGCGTAGCAGTTCATGGACTTGGGTTTAAGATATACTTTCTCTAACCAAATAGTAATTAATGTGATATGAATCAAATGTGACTCACAACATACAAGCCTGAGGCATTTGAATTGCCAAAATTCATTTGTTTACATGATGCAACCAAAGGAGACGCCAGAATTTATGTCTACGCAAATTGGCAAGTACCAAGGAGACGCCAGAATTTGCAGGATGAATATAAAATCATAGAGTAAATTGGCAACTTATCCATCAAATTATTTTTCACATAATCTTTTGGTCCTTAAAAGTAGTTCTCTTTTAACAACTAAATATACAAGATAAGCTAAGGTGATACATACTTATAAATTTAGGAGCTAACTTAAGCACAAGATAAATTCATAAACTATATTACAAGAGTAGAATAATTTTTCAGGAATAGTTGCCATTTACTCTCAAATTTTACAAAGTGATATGAATCGTAAAACTTTAATTCAAGGCAGAGACGGGTAAAATATCAAAATATTCTTTGTTACTTTGAGTGGCCGCTGAAAGCATATTTCAGGGATTGTGGTGACAGAATATTTTTTTTTCCCACCCAAACAGTGAATGGAGGGACCAAAGTTACTTTTTTTTTTAGGGCTATCGGAATGTGGTAGCTAGAAAAATATAGCCTGCTTTCGAGTGCCAGAATTTAGGGGTTAAAATTGACCAGAGAGCATCACGAAATTTAGATTAACCAACTTAACTAAAAAAGCTGACATTCTCCGCTGATTTAGATTCTCATAAATGGAAACCAATGACAACCATTTGTTTTACCAGAAAACATGGTATGAAATACATAACCAAAGAAAGAGAGATCATTTTTCCATTTTTCACAACTTATTCTCCTCGCCTCCCCAGGAGGCCTCTAGCTGAATTTTTTTTTTAAATCAAAATAAAAAAAGAAAAAAGAAAATTGAAAAGTACAGGGAATTGAGGCCCAATGGACACTGTAAAGAGAATTGGTGTTCTAATGTTGTGCTTTGCATTGGCTTATTGTGTGGATGCTAAGGTAAGAGTAAGGCCAGTGGCTGGCCCTGATATCTACAGAGGTCACAATGCAGCTAAGGATGTCCTTGCTCCTGGTGAGAAAATAGTTAATGTCATGAGCTTTGGGGCCAAACCTGATGGCAAGTTTGATTGCACTCAGGTAGTTTATGGGATTCTCTTTTGGTGAATCATGCTAATTCTGCTTTGGTTTAAATTCATATAATACCCTTTTCTTCTCCCTTAATAAATTTGAAGATATGTGAAATATATAAGCACTGACAATTTTTTCTTCGGTATAGGTAAATAAATGTATGATCAGATAGATAGTCTATAAAATATGTTGCAGATAATATGATCAAGCTGGTTTTTACAAGATATTATTTGAATGTCAAGTTTCATCTTTGGCCATTAATCGTGACATATTAACTTCACAATTAGAACAATTTTCAACTTTAAGGGTGCGTTTATTTACTTACTTTGTTTAACCACTTATTCGATAATCTCTTTTTAAATTATAATTTATGTAATAAATTTAACAATCAAATTTATTAGAATAAGTTAATAATTTATTTGATAAACTATACTTTAAAAACTTATTGAAGTAAACTATTTTCTATAAATTATTCCAAACAAGTCATATATCAAAATTTATAAACCTTTCTTTTCACCTAATGCTAGTGATCATAATAAACCACAAGCACAATGAATTAAACCCACTAAGACAAAAACATCTTAGGAAAACTAATTTTGGTCATTTGAGAGTAACACAGCCAAATGGGCCTGAATATGTACCTGCAGGCTTTTATGGACGGGTGGAGAGCAGCTTGCCAGTCCAAAGTGCAAGCCAGGCTTCTGATCCCTCCGGGCAGATTTGTGGTATCTTCAATGTTTTTTTCAGGGCCATGTTTGACTCCAGGGCCCATAACAATCCAAGTAGTAGGTACAGTTGTGGCTACAACAGATATCAGTGAGTATGAGAACAGTGAATGGCTCATGTTTCAGAACCTCGCAGGTTTAAAACTCATTGGTGGTGGTACTTTTGATGGGATGGGTAAGAGTTCATGGTCAAACTCTGAGAACTGTGAAGCAGACCCCACCGACACATGTGTCCGGGCACCTAGTGTAAGTTACTAGGATTTTGATCTTCTCATGTTCAGTAACATAACATCATTACGTTAAAAAAATATTTTATCAAATTTTTGCAGAGTTCAAAATGTAATATAACACATTAATGCTGTCGAATATTGTAATTTTTGTATAAGTTTAAAAAATTGTTGATAAAAATTATATTTTTCTTTATCTAACGTGACTATATTATACTAATAATATAAGATGATCCAAATTCAACTTATGATGTCTATGTAACTTATCATTTGAAATGCAGCATTAACATGTGGATATAGTTGGGCACTATATGAGCTTTTATACTTGTTTCGGAATGCAGAGCCTTTATTTCAGCAAAGTTACCAATGGAATCATACAGAACATCAAATCCGTAGACCCCAAAGGCTTTCACGTATTTGTCACAAACAGTGCAAACATCAGACTTCGATTACTTAAGCTCAAAGCACCGGCTACAAGCCCCAACACTGATGGCATTCATATTAGCAACTCCATCAATGTAAAAATATCCAAAAATAGTGTTGAAACTGGGGATGATTGTATTTCCATGATACAAGGAGTCAACAATATTACCATCAACAAGCTGAAATGTGGTCCTGGACATGGTATTAGGTATAAGTTGCTGCCACCTGGTTACATGATTCATGAAGGATAAAAGACTATTCGCTACTCCATTAATTCATATTTATGAACGTAGTTCTAGTTTATTTGAATTTTATGAGAATAGAGTGATAGATAAACATGATTAATATTATATATATATATATATATATATATATATATATATATATATATTAATCAATTGAAATTATTTTTATCAAATGACTATCAGATGGTGATTTTAAGTCTTACGTTTGCATGCATGGCAGTATTGGAAGTCTCGGAAAGTATGAGAATGAGCTAGAGGTGAAAGACATTCGTGTCAGCAACTGCACATTGGTTGGCACAACCAATGGCCTCAGAATCAAATCATGGCCAGATAAATATCCAGGTGCAGCTTCAGGTATCCACTTCAGTGACATTACCATGGAAAATGTGAAAAATCCAATCATCATTGACCAAGAGTATGAATGCGCTCCAAACTGTCAAAAGAAGGTTCATTTGTTTATATCTTTCCTTTAATCCCTTAAAATACAAGAACTAGGAGCGCTAAGAATATACTTTATTATACATTTTTTAATAGCACACCCTTAATTATTAATTAAAATTTATTATAAACTGTAAAAGTACAAATGAAAATCATTAAATTAAAAGTTAGACTCAAGTAATTTTTATGATTTTTAATAAATTTTAGTTAATAATAAAGAATGTGCTTGAAACAGTGTTAAAGAGCTTAGTGCTAACATTTCTCTGCTGGAGTTAGCCTATTACCCTCACTTTCCCATAACAACATTCTTCCCCACCTTAATTAAAAAGTCCAGATAGAGTAAAATGCACAAAAAATTGTTGTTCATTGGGATTGGGATAAGCTTTTTTTATTTTCTTTCACATGCTAATATGTACATTCATTTATTTCCATGCAGCCTTCACTAGTAAAGGTCAGAAGTGTTAGTTTTTCAAATATAAGGGGAACCACAATTTCGCCAATAGCAGTGGATTTAAGGTGTAGCAAGCAATTCCCATGCCAAAATGTTCAACTTAACAACATAAACCTGAAGCTTGGACCCGCCCCTACAAACTCTAGATGTGCCAACATTAAACCTATATATGTAGGCTTGCAAGCACCACCAGCTTGTGCATAAAGTTTTGTTCAGGATTTTTCAAGGATGGTTTTGAATCCCAAAAAACAAGCTGAACCTAAACATACTTAGACCCTTAAATTCACTTGCTTTTTGATTTCTAATCTCTCCTTTTGATCAACAATTTTGAACCAATTAGAATCAACTTCCATGCCTATTATTCATCTATTAGTTATTATATCCTAATCCAACTCATTTTTTGAAGACCTCTAAGCTAAATATTTGAATCAGCTTTACTGTGTAGAAAGAAGGAAGGTACTCTTGATTATTATTATTTTTTAGGCTTACTTACAGTGTAAATAAAGATAAGGTTTTATCCGTTCCCTTTCTACTAACCATTCAACTGCCTCCAGATCTTCTCAGGCTGAATCTAAAGAGTTGTGTTGTTTCAAAGAGTTAGGCCAGGAATTCTCATATTTATTAACTGGCTGAGAGATGTAAACTGCATAGTATGACATTGGTTTTCTAATGTTTACCATAATATGCTAGAGTGTGAAGACTTCATGATGTAATTTTCTGCTAACTTTTATCAATTGTAATAATGTAGCAGTAAGTAGTTTTCTGTTTCATTTCTATCGGGTTATAAAGTTTGAAGCAGTAGATGAGAACGATCCATCAAGTTAGAACTTAGAAGTTCTTCCTTTTTCAAGGAAATAAATGCTGGGTTCTTTTTTGGGGTGAACAGGTAACATCCATCTTTAAATGACAATAAAACCTCCTAATTTAAGTGCCTTACAGTGAATGCCATAATTTAACGGTATGAATACAATCAAATAACTTTGACATTGTTTGTGCTTTAGGATTTATTTTGTCACAAGTTCATTTTAAAGAATGTTAAATTGGAATGAATTCCTAGAACCTTTAAAACTAGATGTTTCAAAGTGTCCACATTTTGTACCTTGCAAAGTCATAAATCATAATTAATGCGTGATAATGGCTGTTTCCTTGACTTATCAAATCGTTTTTCCTGTCATGTTACTTTGTCGCAGAATACCCCTTCCAAGTGCGTGATAAACTGTACAACATTACCATGAAGGAGCTGTTTCTAAAACATGCATGGTACTAAATGAAATTTATGGCACTAAAAAAGCTAATGAATGCTTTAAACAGTTAGAATTTGAAAGAAAAACTGTACTTTTAACACATATTATGACAAGATTAAGTTCAGCATAACTACAGAAACGCACGATTATATATTCAACATATAAAGAAGGGTTAGCCACATTGTTGTGTAAAAGTGCTAACAATCATAGGAGTTAACAAGACAAATTCTCAGGAGCTATGACAAAAATGAAGAACATGTTAGCATTAGGCTTAAGTATAGCAATTGTTTATATAGTTAGTTCCGAAATTGGCATAGCATTTGCCAGGACTCCAACAGTTTTAGCTCCAGAATCTCTAGCTGATTCACCTGCCCCAGATTACTTCCCTCCTGCAGACTCAGCTGGATCACCTACACCAGATAATAGCCCTATTGCTGGCTCAGATGAGTCCACTGAGCCATATTCGACGCCTTCACGATATTTCGATGTGACTCATTATGGAGCAGTGGCTGATGGAAGGACAGATAGTAGCTCTGTAAGTTTTTGACTTGAGTCTAAGAACTCAGTGATGGAGGACATTTTGGCAGGATGTGTAATTTCTTTTGACAAATTATGTAGTTTACAAAGTAAAAACAAAATAAATTACAGTATAGTATAGGTGGAAGAAAGTAACCATCATGTTCTATGTTATGGTATCACTAGTGACTTAAGGACAATGCTTATCTAAATAGTTCCAAATTGGGATTAATTATAAAGGGCCTAGTCATTTATTTGTATTGCCAGGTGATTCCTGGAAAGTGGTTTTCAGTTTTATTTATCCAAAGTTTTGTCTGTTTAAGAATCATGTCCTTTCGCGCTTTCATTTAGAAATAAAAATTCTTACTCTTGGTCAAGAAGTTAAAGAAGTCATATTTGAAATGTAATTATGATATCTAAAAGTGAGGATCTTTTAAAGAAGTTTGTCAGAGATTCAAGCAAGAAAACATCTTTTAATTTTCTTTTTAAACAATAGCCACTTTAGATAAACAAATCTATTCGTTCTCATTTTCTTATGATGTAAATGGTTTTAGTATATGCATATATGGTAAGCAAAATAACTAACAAGTTACAAAGTGAGGTGGAAAGGCATTCTTAGCCACATGGAAGGATGCATGCTCTTATACAGGACATTCAACATTCCTTGTCCCAGGAGGGACATTCTATCTTGGTCCAGTCTCATTTTCAGGGCCTTGCCACAATAATAGGTCCCCAAAGATAGAGATAATGGGAACTTTGAAGGCTCCAATTAACCTCAATGACTTTCCCACCCCTGAATGGATTATGTTTCAGAACTTGAATGGGTTCAATCTCACTGGAGTCAATAGTAAAACAACTTTGAACGCTCAGTGTCAAGAATCCTGGTCAAAAGCTGCTTGTCGCAGGGTCATGAAATGCCACAATTTCCCAACTGTAACTAAGTCTTAAATGTCAATTTTAAAATGCATTTTTGAAGAGTTTTTTTCTCCTACAATTTAAACAGATTTACCCTTGTTGTTTGGTTCATGCAGGCTTTGAAATTTGTCAATGTTTCAAATGGTACAGTGACATATATATCATTGTTGAATAGTAAGGCCTTTCACGTTAGCATCTATAACTGTGAGAACATTGATTTTTCTGGTGTCAATATTCAAGCACCTGGGACTAGCCCAAACACTGATGGAATTACCCTTAGTCATTCCAATAACATTACTTTTACCTCCTCAACAATTGGAGTTGGTGATGACTGTGTCTCCATTGGACCTGGCAGCTCCAACATATCTGTTTCATTTGTACACTGTGGTCCAGGCCATGGAATCAGGTTGAGTAACATTTGCACTGTTTTATATTATTTTGGAAAATATTAACATCTACTCTTAAGATTAATTTTAAGCATCTAAAAACAATAACATTTTATCAAAAAGGTAAGTATTTATTACTTATTACATCAGAAATATTAGAAGTGATATTAACAAAACTGTCTATGTTTAAGTAGATGACATGATCAGTGGATGTTCTGTTGTCATGGCAGCGTTGGAAGCCTTGGCAAGAGACCAAATGAGAAGGAGGTGACTGGGATTCATGTTTCAAACTGCACACTTAACGGTACCGAGTCAGGGTTAAAACCTGGCCTGGATCTCCACCTAGTAGTGCCTCTAATTTGGTGTTTGAGGACATTACCATGTTCAATGTCTCAAACCCCATAATCTGTTATGGACCATAATTGGGTTGAGGAGGAATTAGAGCCAAATATGTTTCCTATCTAGGTCATATCATTACGGAACAGGGTGTTGAACCAGAGAATGACAAGATTGTGGCAATGCAAGAGTGGCCAGTTCCTCGCAATGTGAAACAACTGCGTGGGTTCCTTGGTTTGACAGGGTACTACCATCGTTTTATAAAAGTATATGCTGCCATTGCTTCACCTTTGACTGATTTGTTGAAGAAGGACGCCTTTCGTTGGACTATGGTGGAGCAACAAGCATTTGAGGACTTGAAGAAAGCCATGACTGAAGCCCCTGTTCTTGCACTGCCTAACTTTGAAATTCCTTTTCAATTAGAAACTGATGCGTTTGGAAAGGGCGTGGGTGTTGTACTTCTTCAGCAGGGCCACCCAATTTGTTTTCACAGCATGAAATTTTGTAACAGGATGCGTAATGCTTCTACTTACGTCCGTGAATTACAAGCCATTGTTGAAGCTGTTAAAAAATGGCGACATGATTTACTGGGGGTGCAAGTTTATCATCTTCACAGATAAAAAAAGCTTAAAAGAGCTTATGACACAGGTGATCCAAACTCCGGAGCAGCAGCATTATTTGTGCAAACTATTGGGGTTTGATTATGAGATTAAATACAAACCTGGTTCCTCTAAGTGTACTGCTGATGCTTTGTCTCGTCAGTTTGATGAAGGGTCCTTTGCTGCCCTTACTGTCCCTTATTACGAGTTTATTCACAAGCTCAAGGCTTCTTATGATTCTGATGCCCAATTGAAGCAATTATACTCTGACGTTTTTGCTGACCCCACTTCTCATAAAGGGTTCTCCATTGTAGATGGCTTGCTCTTGTATGAAGGAAAAATATATATTGGTGACGACACTACATTTAAGTCTCTGTTGCTTGAAGAGTATCATCGCAGCCCTTTGGAGGTCACTTTGGATTTCATAAAACATTTCAGCGGCTCCATGAGAATTTTCATTGGCCTGGAATTAAAAAAGAGGTCGCTGCTTATGTGAAATCTTGCATTACTTGTCAAGAGATGAAGGCTCCGAATCATGCACCTTATAGTCTTTTGCAACCCATTTCCATTCCTACTGGCGTATGGGAAGACATTGCTCTTGATTTTATTATTGGGCTGCCACCTTACAAGGGTCATACTACTATTTTAGTGGTTGTTGATAGGTTCTCCAAAGCGGGGCATTTTGGTATGCTTCCTTCCAACTATATCGCTTTCATGGTCGTTGACTTATATAATTTGTAAGTTGCATGGAATGCTGAAAAGTATTATCTCAGATAGAGATGCCATTTTCATGAGTGGTTTTTGGCAAGAATTGTTTCGTCTCAGTGGCACTAAGCTAAAGATGTCCACGACTTATCTTCCTCAAAGTGATGGCCAAACCAAAATCCTCAATAAAGTCCTTCAACAATATCTACGGTCCTTTGCTCATTGCAAACCAGCCTCGTGGGGCAAGTTTCTCTTATGGGCAGAATGGTGTTATAACACCTCTATGCATTCATCCACCGGGCTTTCTCCTTTTGAAGTTATGTATGGCAAACTTCCCCTTACCGTTCCTAGCTACTGCGTGGGAAACTCAAAGCTCGAAGCTGTTGATGCTGAATTGACTTGCCGTAATGAAATTCTGAACAAGTTACGAGCGAAGTTGCTGCAGGCCCAGGAGGTGATGAAGCATGCTGCTGATAAAAATCGCGTTCCTGCCCCGTTCAAGCTTGGTGATCACGTTATGGTCAAACTTCGCCCTTACCGTCAGCATTCCTTGTCAGGACCACGAGTTCA